CAATTGTTTTTGACACAAGCATACAGTTTACTACCCCCCCCCCCCAATGAGTTTTACATCGTTTTTGGACAAATCTCGAGGACCATATTTTAGAAAAGTGGGGGGGGGGTTCAGACCCCCCATTCCCCCCCTTGGGTATGCTACTGGTTGAGAGGAAGGACCAGGACACTGCTTGACAAGGATAGCTCATCTTAAAACTACCTGTGAAAGCTAGGTAGCAACAAATGAATGAATGAAGATCATACAAAGATGAAGGAAACAAAAGAGCAAAAGCTTTCTGCAAAATTTGACATTTTCACAGAATGCTTTACCTGGATGTGGCTGATAAGGCAAAACAGGTGTACTGCTAATCTTTACACACTTCAGATGAGCAACCACGTACTCCTTACAGATGGGCAACCACGTACTCCTCTCCCCTGTAGAGTCAAACAAAACCCCTTATGATCTCTGTTATGAGATTTGCCTCTATGTTAATTCTGTAAATGTGTATTAAAAATGCATGAAAATGACAGAACAAGTTAGAAACAAGAAATGTGTACACACTATTGAAAAAATGTGGCATAAATTCTGCAGACACAACACCCATATTGCTTCTAGTTAAATTGTGATTTTCCGTCAGATACCCTCAACTGGCTATATGCATGACAAGAGTCTATTCAAATTTTCAAGAAACAAAATAAATTAATGAAAGCAAACTAAAGACTATAATATCATTAACTGCTTATTTGCAACATCAAAAATATGAGATGATTCCTTGAGAGATTAATTATAAACTAGCACACAAACCTACTATCAGTCTGATTCATTTCAAAATTTAGATTGAAGCTATAATTGAAGGCATGAAATTAATGGTAATTCTCAGAGACATTGTCTCAAAAAACACAGCTTTGTTAAGAAGCTGAGTGAAGTCAATAAAACATGCTCCTTAAAATCACCTTTCCTTTGTGAAAGAGAAAGAAGAATGTCTTAATGTCCTGTTCATATCTCATTTATCACAAAAAGATAACTCATTTAGCCATCATTTTATTAGTTCATCTTATTGTTTTCAAAATACCAATTTCAAGCAAGGATATTGTCTAAAGGAATTGTTAAAGGCCTTGCGAATCTTTCACCAGGTGAAGAGTAATGCTTGAAATGCTGCACTTATCTTTCTTTCCTGTGAAAAGTTGTTATTCAATTGCATTAATTTTTGGCCATTAGATAATTTTTTTTCTTTGTCGGCAACATACGTTCTATATCTGAATTTTTCAAGGAGCATGACAACAATTAAATCTGCTAAAAATACATAGCTGCTATCAATAGAATTACAAGGGCTGCTGGTATTAGCTCTCTGAAACCTAAGTGGATAAAAGAAGTGGTATTTGGGCCCTAGATTCCATGTGCCTGTAACCACCAGTGTAACTTTAAGGTGACTGTCTATAGAAAGAGTTTTCTTGAAAATCATAAGAACCTATTAATATTTCTAAAAAAATGAAGGTTTAGGATATCAATAAATAACTCAGGCCAGGGATCAAAGCTATACATACTTTTATCAACTATATATATAAAATCAATTATGATGAATGCAGGAGAAAACAAAATTCACAACAGCAACAATGTGTTCACACCAAGTAAAAGAGTGAAATTTCTATTGGTTGATTTGATGTTTGATACAACAAAACACAAGAAAACCTTAAAGCAGACTTTAGAGACCAGCTTCCAAGAATACCAAAGATGCTTCCTGTAATAGCAGGAAATGCTTAGTCATGGATAGGAAGTCACGTCAAGATTGTTATATGAGGGGTTCCTGAATCTGCTTATACTTTTTATCGAAAGATTAATTAGACTGGATAATAAACAGCTTTCGTTGGTAATTCTTATTGGGATAGAGCACAAAGCCAACCTGCATAATAGCATTAATAATATATTAATTACGGTAACTATTGAATTCGTTATCCTGCTTGCTACAACTAGTTTGTGGTACAAGAATACGAAACGCTAACCGAAAAGGCTGAGTAAGACATCAAACAAGACTCGTTTAAAAAAGTTCAAATGTTTCACTTTCAGTTTAGCTACTTAGACTTAAGACAGTCATTTTATTTTTTGTTTGTATTCACTCTCTATCAGTTTTATACATCAGGTTAACCGAAGTAGACCCAAGGTGAGAATTTCATGCAGAAAAAGATGGAATAACCGAGCTTGCTTCCCGTTTACTTTGGAGCTTCAACTTTATCTAATTAACGACCTCACTTAAAAACTTATAAAGTCTTTCCTTTAGAACATGGCGATGCAATCGTTACACGCTGAAAGATTAAAATCAGAGAACAGTTTCGATTTGTTGTCACCATCTTCCTAACGAAAATTCATTTGACCAGGGAACATTACAAATAATCTACGTTCTGAATTCATTTTGCTTTCTACTTTGCTTTCTATATGCTCTGAGCATGTTTAGTGAATGACACAGAAAGGCAACATCTACCTACCGATATACACGATGTACAAGCAGAAACATAAGAAATGATACAAATCTATGAATCAAAAGCATGACATACCGAACACTAAGCCAATTTAGGCCCTGCCCAATTCCACCAAACCAGTCAAGCAACGGTAGTCTTTCTGAATATCTCTTGACTACACGATTAGTAGATTGACCTTTGAGGTAAACTCTCAGTTCTAAATGCTGAAATTGGGTGCGATTAGCGACGAGAAGTCGTTTTTGTTTGCAGTGATGTATGGTCGGTCACTTTATTCTATCACAGACAGACCCACATCTTGCGAAAGTCATGCATTGAACCCAACAAGCATAATTTGCATAAATTATGCATTGATGGGGTTTGAAGGGAGGGTGGGTAACATTATTTATTTTTACAATAAGGCTTGTAGGCCGAAATTACAAATTAACAATGAATCTCAGAAAACAGCAAACAGCTAATACAAAGATAAACAGATGAAAAAATGATTATAAGCTAGAAAGTTTACGTAACGAGGGTATGCACATATATAGGACTTTCTGGGTCCGTTCGAGCTTTACGTTTCTTCCATGCATCCATCAGCCTAAAGCGTTATTCATGTTATATCATTATTAAATAAATTCTTATAATTCTATCAAAATGAAATAACAACTTTTTATATTTTAGTATATTTCAATCAACTTGTTATTGCTGAAAAATATTCTAATTTGAGTTTGCGTTTTGCAAAAAAGAATTGAAGAAACAGTTTCCTTTTTCAATCAAAACAAGGATAGCGTGATGGTCTGTGACGCAGGCTAAACATTGATAGAAGAAGACAAAAACGCTAAGCGGAAAATTAGATCATGTTTATATCCATACTTCAAGAACATAATCGTTCTGGAGCATTTTTCATTCAACACTGCAATGCGGAAAAATCGATTTAATTTTCCTCTTGTAACATGACAGAACACTTACCCAGCTATACAAAGTGTGTGAGGATATAAAAACCTGGGCGAATTCGGGTTAGTTTGCACCCCGCATGCACTGAAAAGGGTTGAAAAATTGGCGGGGTGGGGGGGGGGGGGGGGGGGGTTGATGAAAGTGATTTTGGGATTCTGATGTTTTGCATGCTGCTTTTCTATTTGAATGGTATGATCTAAAATGGAATATATCTATGAAAAGGCGATATATAGAGCGAAGATTGGCTACAAAGGAATTGAGTTTTCACCCAAATTTGCATTGCTAAGTATTTTTTATTCACGAACCGCTTTTTGCCATTTTCGGCCTAAAATTATCAGTCTAAGCACTTTGATCCACCCAAGTTAAAAATTTTGCATTTTTTAGAGCAAACAATTTTTTGTGAGAAGCAACAATTTTTCGAATTTTTCTGCATATTCAGGGTCACAAATTTTTGAAAAATGACCAAGTTCGCTTTTGGTAAATATGGGCCTGGAATTTATTCAAAACTCTTCAGATTGTCTTGTGCTAAGAACATTTTTGCAAAAGTTAACAAATTTTTCGATTTTTGCATATCCAGTGTCGCAGATAATTTGAAAAAAGATCAAGTTCTTTTTCGGGACAAATGGGCTTGAAATTTATCCAAAACTCCTCGAATGGCTTTGCAAACTTAAACTCGGATATTTTGAGTTGATTTGAGCGAAAATTGTTTTTCGTGAAAATTGACTATTTTTTGGAGTTTATTTGCAAGTTTAGAGTCATAGAAAATTGACAACTTTTTTGAGTCTTTTTTGCCACATTTTTACTACTAAACTAAACTTAATTTTTCCGAACCTAACTTGAAAGCTTGCTGAAAAGCCTTCAAATAATCAAAAAAGGTATTTTTCAGCATTTTAGCTTGTTTCGAGCGAAAAAATATTCTATCAATATTAAGAGTTTTTCTAATACTTTTCCATATCCAGGGTGATATTTATTTTTGAAAAATTACTAAGTTCTTTTTGAGAAATATGGGACTGAAATATATCCAAATATCAGCAAAAAGTGAGTCAGAAATATACCAAAACCGTAAATATACGAAAATCAGAAATTTACTCAAATGGTGTTGCAAACGTTAATCAAGACCTTTTTTGAGAGAAATTTTTGACTCAGTTTGTTTTGATTGTTTGAGACAAAAAATTATTTTGTGAAATTCTTGAATGCCCAGGGTTACAGAACTTTTGAAAAAATGATCTTTTTGCTAAAGTATGAATTAGAATTCACCTAAACCTCTTTAAATGACGTTCCTAACATGAATTTACGCATTCAAGGTTATTTCGAGAATTAAAATTTTAAAAGATTTTTGAATGTTCATAGGCACAGTATTAAAGAACTACTAGGATCTTTTTTGAAATTATAAGCCAGAAATTCATCCAAGTCACCTCATATGATGTTTTGAAGCGTAGTTTATGCCATTTTTGGTTGTTCGGAGCGAAAATATTTTTTGCAGGTTTGGGGTCATAGATTCTTTTAATGTTAACCTGAACATCTTGATTGACAACATTTTTGTCAAAAATAACAATTTTTAAAAATGTTTGATTGCCCAGTATTTTTAGTCAATGTTTTTAGAAAAAGACTAGAAACTTTTCTTCAAAGTATAAGCAGAAAATTTATGATACAAATTTCACAATTGTTCCTTCGCCATTACAATTACCTTGAGAAAGTCCAACCATGGTAACTCATACAAGTTGTGATGTTGTCAATCCATTGATCTTTCGGTCTTCCTCGATTCCTTGCGCTCTTAACCCGGCCTTCTAGGATAAATTTAAATGATCTCATTGTTGATAATTTTATATGGCCTAAAAGTTTTAACCTTCTGTAATTGTTTACAGCTTATATTGGTTTCAGTCTCTTATTCTTTTATGGTCGTAGACTTTATATTTTGATATTATCTTGCACCTTGCGGCTACTAACAAATCTCGTGATGTGTGTGACTTAGAAAGCACATCTTGTCCGTATAAGACGACTGGTAGCACGTATGTGTTTAAAGATTTTGGCCCTGGTGGTAACTAGGATTCCTGAAAACGCAAAAGTGCATTTGTTTCTAATATTTCGTCTTTATTAATGACTAGGGATTTTGCGAGCTTTCGAGGCCCCTTCCAATTGTTCTGAGTTTTCTTTTTAGCTGCTTCTTTTTAGCTTCGAAAGTTTATCGCATTTATCATTTAGCTGGTCGAGTTTATCTAGAGGAACAAGTTTGTTTGTCTCAGCCTTACATACTCGATATTGTACTTATTATGCATCAAGGGTCTTTTTTACATGTGATTTCTTCTTGATTGCTTCTTCGGCTCTTGCTGTCATCCACTTTTGTTGTATTTTTCTTATTCTTGGTAGGCTTTCCTGCGATATCTAGGTAATATTGGTCGTTATTGCATTGAAAATTTCGTCAACATTATTCTTTGTTGATCAAGTAGGAAAGCGATTTTCAATGTTGAATTTGGAATGTGTTAGTGATATATTCATTATTCCATGCCATAAAGGCCAGTTTGGCTTAGATTTTGCTCTTCCTCAGGATGTGTTCTGTGATGAACTTTGCCCGAGTTAGCGATGATCAGATATGTCTTGTGAGTTAAGTACTGTCTTGGATACATTGTTCATCCTTTGTACGAGTTACTATAAAATCAATCTGGTTTCTATAATTACCACCAGGATAGAGCCAGGTCGAGGGGTTTTAATGTCCTTTAATGAAGAAAGAATTAATTTAAAAGGAGATTATTTCTTGCACAGAAGGTGGCTAAAGTGAGTCTTCTTTCATTGAATTTATCAAGAGTAAACTTTTCAACAGAGGCGCTAAAATGAATTAAATTTTTCACGCCTTTAGGAAATATTTTTTTTGATTGAACTCATTAGAGACTCTTGTGTAAATGGCAATGTGTGGACTTGATTGTAGACAATTCCATGTATCACCTGGGCTCCTATTGGCAACTACAGTTTCCCATTTAAAACACAGATATAGGAACAAAAACGAAGAGATGTAATGGCAGGTCATTTAACTAGATGAAGAACACTGGTTTGCATAGCCTATTGAATTAAATAGAAATCAAGGTTTATGTAACCTGACGGAACCAGCATACTCCCTTTTAGCTTGTGTATTCGGGCTTTTAATTCTAAGCTCCCCAATAATATCTATATTTTGCTGATTTGTCAATTGCCAGTTTAGGTGACTTGGAAATAGATTTTCTCTGGTCGTGTCGCTTGCTCACATTTGCTCTCAGTATATTCTTCCAAATCTTATTCTACTTTCACCAAGATCTACTTAAGGTTCTCTAGAGTGTTAAAAATTCTTCCTTTTACAATACTTCTTAGTTTATCTTTTATTCAAAACTCATTTTTATAGTTTTCTCAATATCTTCTGCGTTCTGTTTGCCTGACATGTCGCTGTTGCCCGCCGTTAGCCATGCATGTTTTAGTATTGCAAATTCCAAGACTAACTGGGCGGTTTTATTGGACAATAAGACACGTTTTGCACTCAGCTTTTAAAGACAAATTCGCTTTATTTTGTCCATTATCTATGGTCATACTAAAGATGTCAATGCAAAATTCTAAATACGCCAAAGTTAACTAGAATGACTTCGGCTTCGGATTATGTTTACCTTTCTGTTGCTATTTGTTTAAACCTGAAGTGACGTTTGTTGCATTTGCCATAAAATACAAGGTGAAAAAGTTGATATTAATGAAATATAAACACATCAATATTACCAATATAGTTTTATAGAAGAATTGAAGAATGGTAAACTTTTGTCTGCTGTCACTTATCGTCGGACGTCCTCCAAAGAATTGTTTGCACATTTACTTGAAAGATTTCTACAGCGTTATCTTCACTGAAAGTGTCACATGGGCTCCGATGCAAGTTGGAAAGTGGGGGGGGGGGGGGGGGCAAGGGAGATTTTAACAATCAAAACATAGGAATTTTTAAAAAGCTCTATTGTTTTGCAAAAAAGTGGAGGGCCAGGGCCCCCCGGCCCCCCTTCATCGGAGGCCCTGTGTCATTTAATTCATACATTCAAGATTAACTATTATAATAGTTGTATTCTCGCGCGAAGCTCCTATATCTCCTAGTCATACTTCGATGATAGGGAGGCTACTTTTGTCCGTGACGTAGTACTCGTTGTAGCGCGGCACTTTGTCACTAGTGTTACAGTTGTAGAGAGTTCCAGCTATTGCCAGTTAAGCCACACTCTCAACCTGAAAGTATGAGATACATTTGTTTTTGATAAAATGCTTCTATTGAGATTTTCTATCAAAAGTACTTAATTCTGGCTCTCTTTGTTATCGCAAAACTCACCTCTTTTGTATGGCTATTTGTCGCTTTTTAGAAGAGTTGCAATTAGTGTGATTCATCGCTAAATCCCCATCAAACGGAATGAGTAGCTCTTGCAATTGACTTGTTTTAGCTTTGACAAAATTTTATGGTGAGTTCAAAAAGCTTGTATCAGGCTTCCATGATAATAACGCTACAGCTACACCATTAGCACCCTGTGCGTTATTAGCAATAATGTCCACTGATAAATTATTTTTTATCCAAACATTTACCGGCATACCAAAAAGACTGTAGCTCTATATGCTTTTCAGCATTTAGCCTATCTTGGACATTATTTGATAAGAATTCAGCTATTGTAAGCATAACTTGCATGTTGAAGCACTTCGAAGATTCCCTGAATCGGTCACTCTTTGGGTATCTCAATCCATTAGAATAGCAGCTTAATAAGAGTTGATGACACTACACGCTATAAGATAGGAAATAAATGTTATCAAATAAATCTTGCAGTACAACAAAGACCCTAATGTCTGTATGAAAATCTTGCAATGTTTTCAATACCACAAATCTTGCCAGTCTGTTAGGCCACCTTCAATGTGATCGATACGTTTTCCAATCCTATAAACAAGGGAACTCAAATGTTTGTCATTGTACAGCGCAATTCCATGTTACTGAGCTTTGATAAGCTGTCTGGAATTTTGTGACAGGTCAACGAAACTTATGATATTTTGCAGCTGATTTTTGTACACTTCTTGTGCCTACAGACAATCGAAAGGATTACTAGATTTGGTGTACTTGTGTTTGATTTCCTTATAAGCAAAAAGGTTTGAGTTCTTATGATAGAAGGACTTCTTATATCCATGTGGATGCGACCCGTAGTGTTTGTGCACCCTGTTAAACTCATCTTCTCTCCAAAGAAAACACAAGCTGCCATCTAAGTAAGCGAAGAGTCCAGCTATTTAATTTGATACTCGACTAAAGTGAAAATGTCCCTTCCAGACAGACCTTTCTTTTATACTTTTGATTTATTCAATAACGCATGTAACTTTAAGTCCGATATGCAGACCAACTCATGGTAAATTTTTAAGAATACACATTTTTATTGTTCTACATCAATTTATCCCGAAGCACTTGTGTACCCTGTTGAGCGCATCTTTTCTCACAAGAAGGCACAAGCAGCCATGGCATCGCTTGACCTTCCAGACTAAGGGGTGGAGGGTCATCAGTAGTAAAATTTACCTTCGACGACATAAATAAAGACAAATTTCGGTGATATGGTTTTACTGGCAAACTAAGGCTTTTTGGAACAACAAAGATTTTCGGACAAACTCATGAAAAATTTGGGTGTCCCATCCCCTTCATCCCCCTCCTAAGTAAGCAGAGTGCCCGGCTGCTATTACGTAAAAAGCAAATATCATCTAAAGCTGAGCAGTCGGAGTCTCTGTCAGGAAAAGCAAGACAAGAACTTGAGGACAGTATGGTCCTACTCAGTCAACTTTATTACGAAGAAAAGGCTGGTACTTTGCAAATATTGATGTGATATCATAATGAAAACAAGATATATCTACAATGTTTGATATTGTCGAGTGAATTTTTTCTTTCATGCTAATGATTTATTTGTTGTTTTTATACTTTTGTTTGAGTGTTTTATTTCACACAAAATAAAATCATAATGTGTAACAGGGATATATGAAAGGGGGGTGGGGCAATTCGAGAATTTTCTACTGATCATTAGGATCTACGGTTACTCCTTGAAAGGGACGCTGCGGAGAACGGGAAGTGCAACCGAGCGTGGCGAAGAAAATAGACTGGTCCATGTGCTCTGTGGCTTGGGTCTTTACTTGCTGCATGGGGATTAGGGCAGAAGTTGAGGCTTGTCTTGCAATTTGGAGATAACCATTTTCTAAAAGAAATAAACATCTACCACAATGTCCCAGATCGAAATGGTGAGTTCAGATATAGTGATATAATCTAACGTATTTTCCCTTTCTAACTGCTTGTTTTCTTCCTGCACAACGCTCTCCGATGGGCTGCAAAATAAATGGCTCACTTCAGTGCACAGCAACCGGCATGTTATTTCTGTCTGTTGCAAAATCTAGGCAGGAGAATGCAAGGCTCCAGGTTATTCTTCGGATTGCATCTGGGGAAAAAGACATAACAGTTGACAGTAGTAAACTTGCAATAGACAGTCATAACGGCTGCGTTAGAGAGACTTGCAATAGACAGTCATAGGGGCTGTGTTCGGGCACCACAGAGCAGGGGGGCTGAGGGGGGCCCCCACTTTTTGCAAAAAATGCCATGTTGCAAATGCAGTATGCCAAAGCAAAGCAAATGCAATATATAAAATGCAAAAATGCCAAAAGATGCCATATACATTTTGCAAATATTAAGCAATAAACTACCAGGAAAGCCTCTTTTTATACGGGTTTAGCCCCCACCCCCCACTTTTTTAGACCCCCCACTTTTCTCAACGCTCCGCGGTGTCTGGTGTTGTTGTTAGAATCCTTCCCAAAATACATTATTTCACGTATATATTGTGGTAACAGTTTGTTTCTTTCTCAAGAAAGCAATCTATCAAGAACGCAAATTCTCAAGCAAACACTTTTCTCTTCCCTTTTTATAGCATATTGGCTACTATAAATGTTACAATTTTAGAACTGAATCATTTTTTGGTGATTTTTATTGAAAACAGAAACGTTCTGCTTATGAAGAATGGACAGCTCTACAGGACAGTGCAAAAGACCCAACTAACTGGATGGTAGGCACCCTTTATTGGAATTCTATTTTCTAAGGGTAAAAATAATTTACAAGATGCTTGATTGCTTACTTTTTAGACTGTCAGAGGAAATATGATTTGTCGTATGAAAGCAAGTCAAAAATTCAAAGTCTACATAAATTGTATTATTTAAAGGAGCCAGAATATGATGGTTTGTAACCAATTTTCAAATCATCATCAATCAACTTGACTGCCACTGTTGTTTTCTTCCCTTGTTCCAGCTTAAGAGCTTGAGAACCATTTGTAGAAAGCTGTAAAAGAGTAGTGCTGGACTTGTTCAACCCAGGACAATGTCAAAAAATTCGGTTGAAAAGTTTCTAAAACAATAGACTTACTGCTTTAGGATCCCTATTGCTAAAATTTGTTAGCCAATTGGCCCCCTTTTTGGCCCCCTCTAGCATTCAATCAGCAGGATGTCCCCTACAAAATGGAGCTCTCATTCTGAACAGAAAAGAGAAAACCACTTAGTATTTGAAATGTAATTTATTCAAATTAAGAATTAAACATCAGACATATCAGACATAAAAATCAGACATGAAAGAAATAAAGGCATGAAGCATTATGATTTTCTAAGGAAGGCAACATTTTGCTTGTTTTAAAATGATCTGGTTCTTTGAGCAGGTTTTTTGGAAGATTTCTAATGGTTTGCCTAAACTTTGGCTCCTGGTTGCTGAAAGAAATTGAAATGATTCTGGGTTGTTTTCCACTTTCCGTCAGCCCTTGCATTCCAAATCTGCTGTAGCATCCCTGCGCACACCTTTGTTTTTGAGTCTATGCTGTGGGAAAATGTTAGAGTTAGGGGGTAAGAGTTAGGGAGTTATAGTTACGGGGTTAGAGTTAGGGGGTTGAAGGTTGAGAGTTGGAGAAAACCAAGAAAAAATCAGTTGCAGAAAGTGAAATATTGATTTGTACCCTTTCATAGGCCAATGATTTACTTATCTTAAAAGTGCTTATCAAGGTACAGGAGGTTTAACATTTTAAGGAGATTTGACCTCAGCCAATATTTGGCTCTCTTTGTTTTTGTTTCCTTTTATAAGCATTCAGTTTTTCAAAGTTTGAAATTTTAATAAATTTGCATTTTTGTGTTGATTGTAAAGCTTTTGATGTTTATTGGATTGGATTATTGGTACTGCATAACACAATTATGTCTAGTCTTTGCACAGCAGCAAAAATGTTGACCTTAAACCACCTGCTATTCAATCCAAAACTTAACTGTTTGGTAGCAGAATCAACTGATTCCTGATTGTGCTTTTAAAAGCTGTTCTTCAGCTCAGATCATGTCCCATGGGTCACATCCCATAGCCTGTGCTGTTTGTACCTCTAGATAATATCTTCACTGCTCTGTCCTTCTGCATGCAGGCAGCTCAGGTCAGAGTTAGGTAACTAAGCATCCAGTGATATTTTTGTCAATGATTCAGATCACAACTCTTGTATGGCTAATAGACATAGGAATCAGGGGTGCACAGGGAGCATGTTTGCATGTGTCTAAAGTTCCTATTTACAGCTAACAGAGGTGCCACTTTTTGCCTATTTGTGTCCTCCACTCTCAGAATACTTTGGCTACATCTATGGTCTGACCTTTTTGCAAACCAGCTGTCTGGTTGTATGGGTTTTAGTTTCAACAATAGAAATTGTGAAGAATGTATCAATATTTTTTATTACCAGAGACAAGAAGATAATATTGTTTGTTTAGCTGGCTGATTCCAAATAAAACAATTTCTTGATGAGTTAGAGAGATACCCTATTCTGTTCTGTGATGTCAAATTTTCTATGAATTTGAGTTTAAAAGTGCTGATGATCTGGGCAACCAATACAGATTGAATGATGAGAGGGGGTTAACTAATATCTAGGGGGCTGCTGCCCCTTGCCCCTTGCTCTCCTGGCCCTCAAATTGGCCTTGCATAATTTTTTTAAAGAAAGTAAGAGTCATAAGTCAAAATAATCTCAGTTCATAGTTAGTGTTATCAATTTTTATCTTCCTATTTGCCAAAAATAGATCATAGAAATATTTATGCTGTGATTAGCCTGTTCTAAAAATTTCACAAAATCGTTCTAAAAGTCGTTTTTGGACGTTTCGGAATTTATCTTTTCCTGTGCATTTAACTGTAGCAACAAATTCTGGCCAAATCTTTAGAAATATGTAAATATTCAAAGCATTGTAATGTAACTCGCGACCTTACAGTCTAAAAGACATTAAGCTGTCATCTGACAACTTCAAATCTGGAGTGGATTTTTTACAGCGGTCTGTAGAGTGTAGATTGCGCGATGCAAATTCTATGACCAGAGCAGTGCCGATTTAAGGGGGGGGGGGCAACTAGTAGCAGTTGCCCTTCCCTCGACGAGTTAAAGCAAGTCTGGCGCCCCTTTTTTGGAAATTGTGTGCCCCTTTTGAATAATGAGAATCAGGTGAAAAAGTTTCTGAGACCGGTAGGTTAATTTGCTTCAAGGATTACCTCAAAGTTATGTTTTTTATTCCGAAAACGGATCTGAAATTTTTTTATACAGCGTACTCTCGTCACCAATTTTTGAAAATTTTTCAGCGCCCCCACTACCAACTGCCCCTCCTTCAAGTTTGCTCTGGATCCGCCCCTGGATCAGAGGCTTCGGATGCAAATTGAAAAGTGGGGACCAAGGACACATTAAAAGCCCATAGCAAAAGATTTTGCAAAAAGCTCTATTGTTTTGTAAAAAGGGGGTGTGGGGCAAGTTGCGTTTGCGATGCCGCTTTTCAATCACGCGTCCTTTTTCTCAATTCCCGGAACTGGGTGAAATTCCTCGTCACCAGACTCCTTTGGAAATGGCCTAACAGCCTAACACATCAAAAACTGATGGGTAAAAACACGGTGACGGATGGATAAGATCCTGGTTGAGCTTATGGCAACGGAAATATTATGTTCATCTAGCCATTCATCTTCCCATTGCGCTATATAGACTGAAGTTATTCATTATTCTATGCAACGAAAAGCTTTTTTTAGGGTCAATATTCAAGCAGATGGAGTATCATTATTCGCCAATTGACTGTTTGATAATATTTGGAGTGAGTTATTGCACATTAACTCTGTTGTTTTTTACACTACATATCACCTATGCATTGCCAAAATTTCTAGACAACTTGAAAGTGAAATTGAAAGGGCCTTTGTTATTTGTAACAGCTCATCCTGATGATGAGTGCATGTTTTTCGGTCCAAGTTTGGTTGAAGCTTTGAATCAAATCGGGAAAGAAAACGTGTACCTACTATGCTTGACGAATGGAGATTATTATGGACAAGGCACGATTAGAGAAAGGGAATTGCTCCAAAGTTGCGCTGAATTCGGCATGATCCGCGATCATGTGGAAATTGTGAAAGCAAGGGATTTGCAAGATGGAAACAGTGAGTGGAATATGGACAGAGTCATTGAAGAAATATTAAATGCTGTTAAAAAGTTCGACATCAAATATATCGTTACCTTTGATGATTATGGTGTTTCTGGACATGTAAACCACCAATCAATTTACAAATCACTTTGCAGAATGAAAAGGAGCAGCATAAGAAACTTACATAAAGACATAAAGCTCTTTTCTCTTGAGTCTGTCAACTTGCTTAGAAAATATATATCTATTTTTGACTTGGTCCTTTCAGTAATACATTGTCTTGTTAAACAGTATACTGAAGGAAGAAAGTTAAAGTTAATCATGCTGAATTGGAAGGATATCAAAGTGCCAAGAAATGCCATGTATAGACATAGGAGCCAGTTTGTTTGGTTTAGAAAACTTTATATTGTATTTTCAAGATATATGCTGATAAATACTCTCAATGTAGAAGGATCAGTAGCTTTTGACAGAACTAACCTTGATCATTAATTGATTTAAAATTCTCTAGAAAATGCATTTCCTTTTTGGAATTTCCTATATATCTGTCTTATTAGAAACCTTTAAGGAACAAGAGTTTTCCTAAACAACACCATTTCTCAACTTCTTGGGAATGCCTTGGTCATCATATGTGCTATTTTATGACAGAAAACACAGAGCAAGAAATTTCTGAGTCATGCAGCCACAATCTTGACTGTAGAACTGAACTGCACTTAGCTACTATACAACACAGCATACTTATATACATACTGTTACTGTTTACTAAGAGTAACAATAATTGTATGGGTGAAACAGGTGATGAGTTAAGTGTGAGTTAAGTTGATTGGTGAAATTAGTAGTGGTGCAAAGAGAAGTTGAATATTAGGGGTGCTGCCTAGAAAAAGAAGGTAAATAGAACTGGCTTAAGTCCTACAGTCTCGTGGTTTTAGAAAATCTTTTTGATTTTCACATAAAATTTATGTCTAGTTTCACAGCTATGCACTGGAAATTCATTTTGTTATTGAACATATTAACATAACAAAGAATGGAAATCAATGAAACATAGAAATATTAAATTATTTGTGATGCTGGGTGATATGATTTTAGAGATGGCAGAGATGCTTTTATTGATTGATAATTGCTGGTTTTTAGAAATTAGAATGTTTTATCATTCTATTGAAGAAATATGCATGCATACACAGCATTTAATTACATGTAAATATTTGCTTGTAAAAAGATGTTTCTTGAATTGCAACAAATCATAAACATAAGCTTAAATCATGTTGAAGCTCAACTGCCTCATCATCATTATCATAATCAAATGGCATTTAACAATACAAATGTCTATGCAAACAAATAAGAAAATTGATTCACTGGGAGTATTGTTTTGCATAAGCTCAAGGATGCACCTTTGTTTTTTGCTCAGCTATATTAGCTGGCAACAGCTACTTCAAACTTCACAACTTCAAACCAATTGTCAACAGAAACTTCAGACCAAGAACCTGCTGTTATCAATTTTGTTTGTAATTTTTCATTGATGCAGGCAATTTCCATGGTGCTCTGTTTTATAAAGGGTCTCATATAAGTGCAAATTTGTTCTATGTCACTTTTAAATAAGAGAATAATTTGAAAAGGCCAAATATGGCATAAATGTTGGTTTGGTCTGTATTCAGTCCAACAAAATCCAGCTTTCTATTTTTGTCAGCTGAATTTGATATGTCGTCTGTGATAGTTTACAAAATTTAATTGAAGACAGGTCTGAGCTGCCCAAAGGCTTCTTTGGCTCTCCATCAACTCGACTCTGAACACTAATTACTTCTAGTTAGAAATCGATTGTGTATAACCATTCAATGTCTTAAGATTGAGACATCGAATGGTAAGAAATGACCACAGTAGCCATTTCTCTCTTGTAATTCAGCTTATGTCCAAGTTTCTACAGATGACTGCCCCAATATTTGCAAAAAGAGCCCAACTGATGTTTAAAAAGGGTTGACTGACTGTTTGAGTTTTTTTAAATATTGCATGAATTGCTATGTTAAGAAATATTGACGTGATTGTTGATTTTGCTAAAAATGTGATAAAAATTTATATTCTAAAGAATAAAACTGTAGAATTTGCAGGATTTTTTAGCAAAGTACGAATAGATTTTGTCCTGTTGGGCGGATAGAAGATTTCTAAAATATTTTTTCAATTGTTATGCAAGCAACAGTGAAGGGGTATGACAAACACTTCATATTAAAAAAGCGACTGAAATTCCTCTGAACTCTTTGATAGAATTCTTGTTTCTCCCTTTTCAGTGGGTTCCCCGACGAAAATGCACCGTGGAGAAGGTTTGTTAGTTGTATTTGTAATTTTTGGTCTCAAATCACGTCTTTTTACCAAAGAATCACCTCTGCCATTTAATGGATTTTCAACCTTAATTAACCTGTTCTGAGCTTTCCTTGGTGCAAAAATTTTACTTTAAATTTGTGATTCTCGCCTGTTTCTTATTTCAATGTTCTTTGACAGAACACGCCCGATGCCAACCACTCAACTCAGCCGAAAGACTCGATTTCTTCCGAACTTTATAGAAAAGGGAAAAAGCACAACATGTAAATATTCTCCCACGCACGTTTTCTTCGAATTGTGTAGTTTTATATGGATTCTCAGTTAGAAGACGTAGTTATATCGTTTAATTTTAATTTCATGCGTGCAGTTAACCAACTTAATCGTCTTTCCTGAAGATTAATGCGATATTTTTCCTATGAAAGAAGTTCCCCTCAGTTCAGGCCTTAAATTGGTACAATTCTCTCATGTCTTTTCGCTTTCATACATTTACTTATATCCACTTAGGTATTAAGACTGATTTTTATAAATTTTGTTTGGATTTATCAACTCAAATATTTTAATGATTTTTAAGACAAACCTTTATCAATGTTAGGCCACACAGAACTTCAATTTCCCATTGTCTGTCACTGGGATTTCAATATTTTTACCAAGCTTGTTATTTTATCACAATTCCTGTTTTAAAGAATAGAGCCTACCGTCTTTTCCACGCCTTGAAATGAATTTTCAACGCCACGTTTTGGTCCGATTATGTAACATTTCTTCTATCTATGATTTCCAAACATATTGAGGTATCAGGACAGGATTATTGTAGAAGGACTTTATTTGTCTTTTTCATTACTTACTTGCTTCGACGTCACAGGCTCTCCGATCGATGTAGAATCTAACAGTCATCTACATAAGATTATTATTGTATTTTGGCTATATAGCTTTCTATTGCCTGTGATTAACATGAAATTGCCCGTGTTTCTCAAATAAAAGGGAGCAAAAGCAATGGAGTTAAGAGTATACAGAATTTATTGGAATATTAGCAATATGATTGCGCTGAAAGTGTCAAAAGATACCAGAAGGGTGATTTTAATATATGCTTTTCAGAGTTCAAAAGGAACAGAGAACGGGTTCTGATGTTGAAGCCCCATGCAAACGTAGATTAGAATTCGGCAACAACGAGACAAACTTGCCGGAAGAAGATCTGCCAAGTAAGAAGTCGAAAGATGAGAGCCCAGATGATGTTGATGCTAAAAGTGAGAACAAACTGGAGAACATTTCAGAAACAGGAGAACAAACTGTAGCTGAAACTGACGGTGACAGCGCATCTCCAATCAGCAGCAAAAATGGTGATGGGTTGGAGCAAACTCCGGAACCAGCAACGAGCATCTTGCCTTCAACTGGTCCAGGGGTACTGGAAAATCTGAAGTCAGAACAAGAAGAAGACAAGGTAGCAGTAACCCTTTGATAACATAAGATATAATGATGTAAAGCTAATGTCAGCGACAGTTTAAGGGACAAAAGTGTAGACTTTTAAATAGTTAGTTGCACAACACCTTCATGAAAATACCAGTAAAGTATTATACAACCCCCGGCTACCCAGATACTCATTAATATTTTATATATTTCGCTGTAATGATAGTACTACGTAAGCCCAGGGGCGTTAGAGCTAGGGGGCTCAGGGGGCTGAGTTGTTGCTGTTAACCATAAAAATTGGCAAATTTCTGCTTTTGCCTTGTTTTTCACAACATTTTGTGCGAGAGCCCCCTGTTTTATTTTGATATGACTACACCACTGCGTAAGCCAAACAATGAAGTACATTTGATGGTTGTTGCAGATCTGGTCTTTTAGTTAACCCCAAGCAAGTTTTGTATTTCTTATTATTTATTGTCTGAATGGTACACAATTTACATTTAAAGCTATTAATTCGCAGCTTTTTATTAAAAAATGTGAATCCTTGGGTGGTAACTGGTCATTTACACTAGATTGAATTGTTCACGATTTTTGTTCTTGTCTAAAGTCCAGCCAATTCACCGTGAAGGACATGGTCTTTGGAAAGCTGAAGGGTTATGACTGGTGGCCTGGACTTATAATAACATATCGTGAAGCCATGCAAAGACCTCCATTGGAAAACTGTTTTTGGGTCAGATGGTTTGGTGATCATAAAGTATCTGAGGTGATTTTCACAAACTTGTTTTAGTCTTTATGTATTAAGTCAAATTATCTCTTGATCCAGAAAGCGTGGCCTATCTGCTCCATTATCAGGCCATCTTTAACCACGGCATGTTTATAGCTACTCTCATGATAAGTTATCAACTAAAGTTTTGTATTGCTCTCTAGAAAATACGTTTTTTGCTGCAAGAAGCCCATATCCTATATTTTTTGAAACGATGTTATGCAAATACGTTGTTGCTAGAATTTCCTCTTGTCTGCTTCTATGTTTTGGATAAATACGATGTTTTTTCTCACCTCTAGGTCCTTAGTTCGAATTTGACTCAGTTTTTCAACTTTAAAGACCGGTTCACTCCAAACAGAATGAGAGGGATTTATAAGAAAGGGATAAGAGAGGCTCTTGAGGTTTGACAGTGTGCTAAAATTCATCTAATTTCTCTCAATATATCATCACTACTCGTCTAATTAATCAATCGTCACTGAAAATTTTCATTTGAATTAGAATACTTAGGCTACGATTGACGTGAAGCAGTGCCAGTGTCCAGCTGATTTAATTACCCCCAAACATTCCTCTTAATGATGATGACATAGAGGATTTTCCTAAGTTATCTGAACTTTGATCTGGTAGTGCACAATCCCCAATTTTTGGTTGATATTCTATGCGTGATGGATGGCTATTTCCACCTTATAATGAAAATATATTTTATAATCTGTGGTAATAGCACTTACCTGTTATAAAGCTTGATTTAACCATACACATCCCCAATTTCATGTCCCCAAAACAGTTCTTAAGTGTGACGTCATTTGTTAACAAATTACTGTTATTTTGGTTCTGTTTATAAAAGTAAGCCCCGGTGAAACGAACTGAACATTTAACTCGAACAACCCTCAATATGCCTGCTGTTTCAGGTTATGGGATCCAAACTCAAAAACTCTAGAAATAGATTTTTTTGACCTCATTATTTAGAACTTTATTTGAGTGCTATTGTAACAATAAACTCCTACTTTGAGGATCTATCCGATGTAAAGATGAGTTTTTTCCTGTATAAGCCGAATTCATTAAACACCTAAAAACAACAGAAAATTGGTTTCAGCTTGCTGCAAAGAGATCTTCAAAAATTGGCTTGCCAGTAGGAGGGACAAAGGAAGCAGAAGACGAGCGGCTAGACACTTTAATTCAGTGGGCGAATGAATCATTTGCTCCTCTAGGAATCGAAGGCCTGACACCAAAATATGTTGGTATGATTTACCTTAGCGAACTTCCAATACAATCGTAAACGAACAGTTAGTCATAAAAACTTGAAATAAAGAGGAAGTACGGCACGTCCCTTGATAGAGTGCACCGAAATATTTTTTGCTTTACCTCTATTTCTTTATCAATCTTCTTGGTCTTTTTAATGCTCTGAAACTACAACGATCCACCACTCTTCTCTCTGCTGCGCGTTTTGTAGCCGTTCATTTGAAATAGCACAAGTTCGACATCTTCTTTTGTGTCTGCACTATAGTTAAGATTTGCATTTGAATCTCTCAAAAAGTTATGTTAATTTATTCAAAGTATTTTCAGGAGATATGTTATTTCCAAATATGACAAGACACTGCACTCTTTAACAAGATAGTAGTGAAAGCACGAGGAGACAGGATAGAATGAGCAGGATAAAACTAAAATCTGATTATGTAGAGGAAAGAACTCAAAAGGGGATAACTCAGTCATTAAAGGGACTTTTGCAGGCAGCTAAAGGCTCTGGGTTTTGGTGGTTTAAATCTTTAATTCACCTTTGTTAATGTGACGTATTCCTTCCAATGTGTTCTTGTATTCGTAAATTTTGTTGTCGTTACTTTGAAATGTTTCATGGTCGTTTAGAATTTAACAAAAAATAAAAGACATGAGTTATGTTATATTGCAGAAGAGGACGATGTTTCTTCATCCGAAGATGAAGTTGAGAGTGACAAAGCTGAGAAACCAAAGTTAGATCATCATAAAGAACACCCCGTGAAATTTTACAGAAATGACAACAAAGATAGATTTGGGAAACCAATGTCCAATCCTATTTTAGCTGAAGACGTCAAAGGTAGCATTTTGATTGTTTCAATTTTTTTCAATTTGTGAAATATATAATGTTTCAGTGGTTTTTCACTTTTTCTAGAAGTGATATAAAAAAGTTCAATTTTTGCAATAAGTAGCTGTTCAATTTATTTTTTAAGATTATCTTCTTTTTTAAAAGCTATCAATTTTGTTGACAAATTTTCTAGTGTTTTATACTATTCTTGAGAAGAACTCTCAAGGATTTGTTGTGGAGATTTTTAGTTTCATCCCATACATCGCCTGTAATCTAATATCGTTACTGATATATTTTTGCTTTTTCCAGCTCTTTTTAACGAGGTCCTTGATGGCAAGCGGAGCATCGAAAGTAAGGAATATAAATTAGTTTCTTTTTGTATTTTTTTGTCTATATTAATTGTAGGAAGCTAAACACTGCTCATTGCTGCGTGAACATTGAAGTGCAATTTTTACATGACCTAATCACTTCAATTTCATGTAGTAAAAGCTTTTGGGTTGGAAATTTTTAGCTCCGTTGAATGATAAGCATGGCTGGCATCATTGGCAAGATCGTCATCTATAAGAATAACATCTTTTGTAAAAAATGTCAGTGCAAAATACGTTGAAATCAACTTAAGAAAGCATATTAAACAAAGCGTATTGAGCATCCAATCGGGTATTTAAGCACCTAAAAAGCCATTGTAGCTGGTTTGTTTCGTGTCCAAACTAGCCTAGGCCTGGCCTTGGTTACAGTTAACCTAGTCCGAGTCCGGTCTAGTTTACGAGTTCTAGTATTGTGGACAAGGCATTAGACTCCTGAGAAGCCGTCACTTGTGAAGGTTTTCAGTCAAAGTATTCAATCAATCAAATCGAACGGTCAAGAAACTGCGAATAGGGTTGATGAAAACCAAGGAAAATTAAGTACCACGCTCATCCTGCACCTTGCCTGTGCTACAGGGAAGATGCATCAAAGCTTGAGGATACTTTCCGGATGAAGAACAAACCCTTTTTTGAACACGTGGCATTAGATTTACAGTAACTTTCGACAGTTGTTATAAGGTCATTATGCACGTATGTTGTTGATGTTTCATTGATTTAACTAGGTCTCTGCCTGGCTTGTGGAGACACAAAGATTTCCATACAGCATCCGCTGTTTGACGGGGGCCTTTGTGCTGAGTGTCAGGTAAGTCTCAAACGTTTTTTATTGTATTTTTATTCTGTAATAAGCGGAATATTAATATGTACTATGCTGCTTTCGATTTCAAAGTCCATTTTGACTTCTACAAGGTTATCGGTTGACGACATAACCTCTTAGTAACGAAGGTCTCAACATATTCATACATAGGATTGTCCAAAGATGAATCTCTAATTTTAGGAAACCACCTGTACGAGTGTAAATTTCGTTTGTTTTCTTTGCAGGAAGCCTTTGTAGAGGGTTCTTATCTATTTGACGAAGATGGATCTCAGGTGAATTTTTGTCTCACTTATTTTTTCATTTATCATCTAGGTTTTCTTTTCTTGGCGTATTTCTTATTAATTGTGATGTAATATCTTTTGCTTGGTTGCAGACTCGACGTATACAATAATTGTCTTACTACAGCAAGTCTCCGTTAACTTAAATCTGAAATGATCGATAATCAACAACAAATGAAAAAGTCTCCTATTTTTTGTTGTACCGAATTTCCAACCAGTTTACGCAGATTAGGATCTTGTTACTTGTATTTTCTCATTCTTTTCGTCACCTTGCTCTAGTGTAGTGTCTTGTTTCAGATGTATTGCAGCATCTGTAGCGATGGGAAGGAGGTTTTGATGTGTGACTCACCAGGATGCTGCAGGTATAAAATTCTTTTTGTGAATGATAATTTTCAATCCATAACATTGACGTGCTTGCAGCCAACGTGGATGACCCCTCAACCCCCTATTTCGTGTGGATGACCCCCTTTCTAACTATAACATCAAAACTTAGGTAACGATATAGTATTGTCAACGACCGCAAGCGCTCTTTGATGATGAAACGACCCACTCCGTAGACATCCCTAAGTCACTTGGATAAACGTAGTTTCTTATTTTGTATTTTTATGTCATCCTACTTGCACATGATATTTCTTCTGTTTCTGACTGCAATTCCGTGCAGGAATTTTTTTTTAAATGTTATGTGTTCCGATTCTATTTCTTTCTTTTGCATGTTATAGATCATACTGTGGGGTCTGCATAGATATGCTTTGTGGAGTAGGCACGACTGTGAAGGTGAGGTATAACAGAATTTTCTTTACAGCTGTTTGTGTCATTTTGAGCTGAATAAGAAAATGCTGTTGAAATCAGTAAAACAATATATTTTAGACTGATTTATGGTATTATAATAATTTTATACATGTGGGGGTCCATTAATTAGCTCTGCTATTAAATCCCTTTCCAATCATTTGGTTTATTTATAAATAATCAATTTGATTTGTTTCCGTTCGATTTAGGCATCCAAATCCAATTCAACTAATTTGTTGTTCTTTCATTCACAGGTTTTAGTTTACTTTATTTACTAGTTTTCATTAGTTATATTTATCATTGATTGTAATTCCTTGTAATTCCTTGTTGGTTGAAATGAAAATTCTTGTGCCTTATGTCTTATGTCTCGAAATAATAATATTCATAACACTTTCAATCGTACATTTTTATATTTGAAGCTGTTTTTCCAGATTTCTTCGCAAGAAAATTGGGTGTGTTTCATGTGCTCTGGGGAGACGATCCGTCTGTTGAAGCGAAGAGAAAACTGGCAAGAGCGTCTCAGAGAGATTTTCCTTACTGACGAGGAGGATGAATATGTATGATTGTCATCTGCAACTCCTTTTACATCTGTCTTTTCTTTTCAATCTTAGAGTAAAGTCCTGAAATGTTACTATCAAGGACAGTCTTTTTTAAACAAAGGCATTTCAGTTACTAGACCCTAGTCACGCCTAGTTGCTATTTTTTTAAGGGCAGTTCCTCTGAAGCAGGGAAAATCAGGGGGCTGTTGAAAAATGGGGGTGTTATTGCAAAGACTAAGATTTGATAAACAGGGGGTTTTAATGAGGGGGGGGGGTTGACCTTTTCGTGAGTGAAAGTATTTTTTGAAAAATGATTGCAAGGACATTTTGAATTTCGAAATCTTGGTCCAAAATTTTCGTCCATAAAAAGGGGGCTAGATCAATATCACAAACTATTGCAAAAATAACCTGACCCGAGTGTATGAAAATTGGGCCTAGGGAACAATGAACATTTTCTGAACTCTGCCTTAAGAGATGAAAAAAGAGTCTTCAGTCCCCATAACTAGCTTTGCTTAGTACTTTCAAATGTACTATATTTTATTAACTCTAAAGATTTTTCCTAATTACTAATGATCTTTAGATTTTTCATTAATTTACACCTGCAAGCTATACTTTTCTGTATGCCTTTTTCAGTTAAACGTTCCTCAGCATTGATTGATTTTATTGATATTACTAGTAAGAATGGGATTTTCTCGAAAAATTTTTTATCATAGGTTCGACTGATCACAGCCTTTTAACATATTTCGTTGCACTGCCAAATTTCTTTTCACTAACACTACATTAGCATTAACACTACAGACTATCAACCTTGTCAACTCTTTTGCGCCAGCAGTGCGCTAAGCAGGAGTTAATTTAGACATGAACCTGCCTAAAGATATTTCTACTCTTCCAATTTATCTAGCTTAATATGGTAAATTCCGTTATTAGTTTTTCCTGAGAAGAACGTTCTTCACTTGTTTTCTTTCGTGTTCATCTTGAAACATTTAAATTATAAGAGTTTTTCATTTTCAGCCACCTCTTAGTTGTGTACCTGTGATACCATTGAAAGAACGACAACCACTAAGAGTTTTGGCATTATTTGACGGTTTAGCATCAGGTAAATGTTTAAAAATTTAAATTACTGAATGATATCAACAGGGGCAAAAACTACACTTGCTAGGTAGTTTTGTGAGGTTGTATGAAAATATGATTTTATTTCTTCTTTTAGTTAGAGCAAGAACTGCATCTCAAGGACTAATGAGATTCAGGGACAATGATGAGATATCTTCCATCGTCCATTATAACTTTGTCTAACCCTTTAGTAGGCTAACTCTAACAAACACCACCTCGTTAAAATGTGTTAAAGGCAATCTGTCACGACGTTGATTAGTTATAAGAACAAAGGGATTTTTATTGTTTCCAGTCCCCCTTTAATTTATCGCATTGTAAAAAATATGTCGGAGCGCTGTTCCAGCTATTGTTCTCGTTAACCAATCCACAACGAGACAGATTGCCTTTAAACTTTGCCTCGAAGCATCAATAAGCTGATGGAAAAGTAATTTTTCTTTTCTTGAACGTAATTGCATTTTTCTATCCTGTTTTTCTGTTGTGTTTTCTGTAAGCGTTTTATTGTTTGTTCCATCAAAGGATTGGTAGCAATGAACCATCTTGATCTGGAAATTGAAATCTACTATGCTTCAGAAATCGACTACAACGCCAATACGGTAGGAGTCCATGGCAATTTTATAATTAACATACCCGCGTCTATACCTGTAAGATGCAAGGGCACGAGCTTTGGGACTGGAGAGGTCAGTAGTTACCCTTTCTGCCAGAAAAGTTCTCAGTCCTCGCTAAATATGATTTAGGGTATGCCCAATCCAGACCATATTTGATATTCATTTTTTTACACTTTTAACTTATATGCTTTAAATAAAGATGATGAAGTAATTTAACATGTATAGATAGTTTGTATAATACAAATCAATTGAAGAAAGAAGTTTTAAGGATATTAAAAATTTATGTCAACTTCCATCCAGGGCATCATGTTTTATCTTTTCATCTCAACAAATGTTTTTTCAGTTCTTTGAATTAGCTTATAGTAGAAAGTTTCTTGTTATTCACAGGGATTCTATTCCAACAAGATAGCAAAATATGTGGATTTTTCCTTGAGTGTTCTAAGATTCACCAAGGAATTTTTATATTTTGTAAAATTATGTCCTATAGCCAGAAAATTAGGATTGAAACTGAATTTATTCCAAAGGTTTTCTGATAACGCCAGTCAAACGACACTAGTATTTAAGGTTTTGTTTGGGCAACGATCTTTCTGCTTAGCTGTTCTAATGATGAATATGACTCTGTTTCTATAATGGGTTTCTAGATTCAACCTTCAACTTTCTATAAGGGCTCTTAAAACGGTAACCAGCTGAGACCGATGAAGAATGTTTTTCAGCCTTCTATAATCTCGTTATTTTAGACGTTCATCTATAGTTAATTCCCCTTCATTTAATGTGCATGGTCAATTATCATATTTTCGGTTTTTGTGTATTTCGACTTGATTTCTAACGCCACATCCACTCAGAGACTTTATTCAGCTTCTCTTTTCCAATTTATGCAATTCTACCATCTCCATTACATTTATGTCATGAGCATAAAAGCAGTTTTAGATTATTGTGGGAATTTTTCAAATCGTTTGAATAAGGTATAAATAGAATTGGAACTAGACACGATTCTTGTGGAACTTTATACGCAACTTCTTGATGCGACCCTATGCAACTTTTAATACAGTACAGAATTTCATTTATTTCCTATGACATTTATTTAAAGCTCATTTTATTAAGTAGTCGGTAATCTTGGAACACCCCTATTTATAACTGACAAATTCATAATCATAGTCAATGGGGTGCTTATTAAATTAGCGTTGTCTTTATAGGAATTTAGAACTAGCATTTTAGGAATTTAGCCTTCCATTTTGATGCCTTACATTCTTTAATAGCCTTAAAGCTTTAAATGTGTATTCCTTGGAACAGCGTTAGAAAACAAAGATGCGAGTTTTTCGAGGGGTCATCGTTTTGATAACTTCCAACTGTAGCAGCAATGTTTTTTACTACTGTTTGGGTTCAAAAGGGTCCAACAACAAGATGCCAACAATTTTTCAAAAATTGATGTACCGTATTTACTCAAATAAACAACAGACCCTAAATAGACCTTTTCAACTTAGTTCTTTGTAATGAAGAACAATTCGCCAGCTTAAAGTTTTTGATTATGAAATATATGATTATGAGGTGTTTTTCAAGTAAATAGGGTAAATGTTTCATAGCTAAAGTGCATGCGGAGAAGTGTGCTGAGTTGAATTTTACTCGCTTGCTTTGCTCCATCCTGATTTGAGCTTATATGAATTTGAGCTTATGCGAATTTGAGCTTAGTATTATTAAATGTTACCACTGCGTTATTATTTTTAGAATCCATTCAATTAAAAAAAGTTAGCTTGTGCGTACTCTACAGCTATAAAACTTAAGTGTTGTTAATTTGTTGCTGACAAGGCCCACTTTGACAATGAGTTTAAGCTTGTGTATGTGTTTACTGAAAGCTTATTTGAATTTTTTTTCATTTTAGGTAACCAAAGTAAAGCATTGCGGAAACATAAAGCAGCTAGGAGATGTTAAACTTATAACTGAGAAAACAGTAAGTTCTGTTTTGTTCTCCTTTAATAGGTTTTAGGTCTTATTTGCTGTATGAATTCTAAAAAGCTTGAGTTAACTTGTTTACAAGGACATATGTACCATTGAGGAATATGTGACAATACCACCTGCCCTTGCTTAGCAATTGCAGAGTAACAAGGTTTGCTTTCGGCCAGGTCGAAAATGCGGAACACACGGAAAAGTGAAATTTTGCTTTAAGCTTCTGGAATGGAAATACATAAACAAAGCAACAGAGCTCTTTCAAGAAATGACATATAAGACCTTATTTTTAAAGGAATGCGAATTTCGTGTTTTCCGCATTTTCGATTTTGAATGAGGGTGAAAATCGAAAACGCGGAAAACGGGAAAATTTTTACGGAATTTGATGACAAGAAAGGTATATAATGAGTAATTAGGCCTTTGATAAAGTTTAACACAGATTTTGTGGCTGCAAGAGTAACTAACGCCATTCAAACCTGTCTAATGAATACAACGCAGTTTGTCTTAAGCATCTCTTACGTTGGCACAAATCTGCCACGGAAATCTGTCCCAGCCGATTTCCTAAGGGGTTTTCCTACACAATCTTGTCTGTGTTTGATAAGAAAACAAATCGGGTACATTTCATCATTACCTTACTGGTCTGACCAGTGAAAATGGTGGAAGATATGACAGTTTATGTTCATGTCTATATCATATGTAAGATAAGAAGGTAAATTCTCTTCCAGATGTTTCAATGCAGCTTTCCAATTTTCCAAATACATTTACTGGGTGTTAAAGTCTACTGGCCATAGGTCAAATATTATTCATGTCTGCATTATTATATTTTTTGTTTCGTGACCCTTCAACTCCCCAGTCAGGAAGGTTAAGATGTGCAATAGCTTGCCTTTTCTAGGGATGGTTTCTTGTAGTTTCATAAGCTGTAGACCAAGAGTCACTAGACTGATTTCCAAACCAGAGATGCCAGAAAGAGTTGTAGGGTATGGGGTGAAGTAAATAAATTTTACATTTTAAGGGTAAAGGGTGACCTGCCTGCATGTGCCTGGTGATCTGGCATTCCTTTGTCAAACCTGCTACCAGAGGGTTACAAATTGACATGAATGATAAGTGGGTAAATTACAAGTAATCGATAGTCTTTAATGTGGAGACAATATTGCACTACTCTTCTTTAATCAAAGCAATCAAGCTAGCACTGAAAGATGTTTTGGTGAGGTGATCTATCTACTGAAAAAGCACTTGCTTGATAAAAGAACACTTGTTTGAAAACACAGGGAAATATGTCATCCGAATCGTTCAGAACACACTAGCATGCTCTTAAAAATATTGTGGCAAAGTCAAAGTCAGTCTGCCAAGTGCATCAAAATAGTTTGCACTTTTGAAATAAAAATCAGATCTTTTAAAGGCCAGAAATTTATTCACATTTCTACAGTTATTGGTTGTTTATGGCCAAATTATTGTAAATTATTTAGCTTTTATCACATGTTCCTTATCATCTTTTATCAACAGATAGAGGATATAGGCCCATTTGATCTTGTCCTGGGTGGTAGTCCTTGCAATGATCTTTCTATTGCCAATCCAGCAAGAAAAGGAATTTATGGTATGTGTGATAGACTCTGGTAGTTGTGCTTTTTTTAAATATTTCGTTTGGATGTAATATTTTCTTGACTTTTAAACTTTCAGGCATGCATATATTAAATTTTCCTTTCCATTTTCAGAGGGTACTGGCCGCTTGTTCTTTGAGTTCTTTCGCATCCTCATGTACTGTAGACCCCCAGCAGGCTCTAAAAGGCCATTCTTCTGGTTGTTTGAAAACGTGGTTGGCATGCGTCATGAAGACAGAAAGGTCATTTCAAGATTTTTGCAGTGCAACCCAGTCATGATTGATGCCAAGGATGTGTCTGCCCAACACAGGGCAAGGTATTATTGGGGCAACATACCTGGCATGAAAAGGTATCCAATAGATTTCTATATTGCGATGTTCTCTAATGCACAGAAATTTCAACATTTGACCCCATTATGAAGAAACAGCATTTGATAATTATGAAAGTGAAAATCATCTGAATATGTAAAAAATTCCGTAAGTTATAGCCATTCAAAGATGTGAAGTTTTCCTGATGAATTACTGTTTTTTTAGCTTGCTTCATAAAGTCTAGAATATAGACCAAATAAATAAGTTTTGGTGCTAATTTAACCAATCTCTGCTGATTTGCATCTTATCTAGCTGATTTTGCACATTTACGGGTGTTTCATGATGCCCTTTAAGGTTCGATGATCCAAATCTGAAAATTCTTAAAATATATTTTTATGACATCATCGTTTAAGAACTCTATGATGATGATTGGTGTTGAAGATCATAGTTGTTAATGGATGATAATTATGTTTTTTCATCCATTGATTTCAATTCTATGATGTAGCCAAGTCAGTGTAGACAGCGGGGGATGGTAGGGGAGCTGTAGCCCCCCCATAATTTGCTAAAACAAGTTTGCAATGCTGGCTGCCCCCCCAATAATTTGCTAAAACAAGTTTGCAATGCTGGCTGATTTTAGCCTATGCTGTTTTTTCTACAATGGGTTCAAAAGGCTTCATCATTGTCATTGGCAAGACCTTATGACAAGAGGGTTGGCTTGAAGAAAGGAGATTTTTAATGGATGATTCCTAGCTTCTACTAGTTGTTGTGTAACTGTTATTTTTATTTAGACCTGCCATTTTTATTTAGACCTAAATGTTTTTGGGATTTTCTGCCGTTAAAAATAATAGTAAAATGGCACTACAGTCACAATTTTGTATAAAACCTGTGTGTATTGACAAAAGAGCAATGCCAACAGAATTTTTAGGAAATTGAAACTTTGGCCCTCTTTCTGGTTTTTCTGAGTTTCATATATGTACCCCAAGATGTTTTTTCATGTCTACAGCCCTGGATTTAGCAAGACTATTTTGTCTATCTTTTCCATTTTTAAAACATTTCAGGCCTGCATACCCACTTCCTGGTGATAAGCTTGAACTTCAAGAATGCTTGGAGCCAAACAGTGGTCGCCAAGCAAGAGTAGGTTTATTCTTATCATGAAATTCTACAGTTATGGTGCTCTCTATATTTGACTTATATTAGCTTTCAGATTTTACCATGATTCAGATTACACAGCACTTAAAATCTTATTCTCTAGTGCTGACCTGCCTTTTGTTTTGCATCCATCAATAAATGTCTTTGATTGCCTGAAACCAAACTTTTCTGCAGCCTTGAGCAATGTCACAGCTTTTGCACAACAAAGATGTATCATATTTTTCTTACAGTTTAACAAAGTTCGCACAATAACTACAAAGTCAAACAGTCTTAAACAAACAAAAGAAGCAGTTATGCCTGTGGAGGAAATGAAGGATGATGGAAGCTCGAAGGAAGATGTCCTCTGGTGCACTGAAGTTGAAAGGTGATTTAGATAATGGAAAAGAGCTATCATTGGATTGTTACAGCCTTTACTTAACCTTGTTTGTGAATCCTATTCCCAGCAAAAGTCTGACAGGAATGATTGTGCATGATCATTGTCCTTAAATGTTCTCAATAATTGTTGTCACCATTGATTCTGCACATAACGGACATCAATTTTACCTTCATTGTGAGGAGATACTTATTGTAATATCTGCACAGCTTTCCATACAAGAAAGGAATTTAGGTGTAAAATTTTACCCTTATGTCATTACTATTTGATGGTCTCAATGGTTGTTTTTGTTTCATTATTGGGAGGATGTAGATACTAGACAAGATGAATTTGTCTGGATGATGGTTTGTGGAAGATGATGAATAAAAATATGCATTCAATTCCCATTGAACATTCAACAATTCAAATCCTCAAGAGAAAGTGAAAGTTGTTCAAAGTCATCAAAATTTGGCCCATAAATAAATAGTTATGACCCATAGAAAATAATTTTGTTTCAATTTAGCAGTCTAATTATCAGACTAGACTGTAGTAACATTGTTACTTCCAACTGGGGCTATTCATATTTTCTGCTTCTTTTAAAGGCTGTTTGGTTTCCCAGAACATTACACCGATGTTGCAAATATGGGCAGATGCCACAGGCAAAAACTTCTGGGCAGTGCTTGGAGCATTCCTGTTCTCCGTCACATCTTTGCACCCTTGAAAGATTATTTCAAATGTTCCAGGATGCAGAAGTAGATTATTATAGGTGAATCTTTTAAACCGAATAGGCTATAACTACAGTGTTTTATTGGTTTTAATCAATCTTAGGTATGACCATTTCAAACTATCTATTAATTGAAGGTTTTTGGTAGAATTCCTAGACAAGAAAAATTGATAATCACTGTTTTTAGACACCATATTTCTCTAAAAGATTTATAGTTTAGTACATCCAGTTTTAGATCTGAGCAAAGTGCCATTTATAAAGCATCAATTGGCATATAGATGTAGGTGTTGCTTTGCAGGTTTCATCCAACAACAGGTTTCATCTAAGCAATTTAGAGAAAGTTTTAGGTTCTTTTTAGTTTTTATTCTGATTTTAAAAGATTGAAATAAACTATTTTTATAAGCTTTTGCTAATTATGTTGATCACTGAGGTCATTGTTTTTTAAACTGAGAATAAATTGTAAAACTTTTTAAACAAACTGTTCAAATAAAGAGACTTTTTCTAAGATTGTTTTTAGAAACCTTTTTAAATAATTTTTGATATTTATATTTTTTATGAAAAGTATTTTACAAAGATTTATAAAGCTGACTTTTTGTGTGTTTTTCTCTTGCAAATTCAAAAGCCCTATATGAATAAATTTATCTATTATTTCTATTCATATCTGTAATAAATCTACAAATGATAGGAATAGAGCTGTCACGATACAACTGCATTTAAAATGTAAATTTAAGTTGTACATTCAAAGACAAAAAGAAAAATACATTAATTGACTAAAATATATTTATAAAATAATTAATCTACTGATACAATAAATTTCTACATTAACCTAAAAATCCCTAGTCTCTTTGTTCAAAATTATTTGGAGAACATTTTTTCAATATGCAACCTTCGATATAAAGTGTAATATTTGTGAAAGTATTCAATCATAGAGGGATTTCAAAATGGAAAGGGTTCATTCGCAATTGGTCATAAGAACATTGGATCCTGATAGGTACATTTATTAGGCTTTCATCTTTAACTACTTTCTCCTTTGAGAAAATAATAATGGGAATATATCTACAAGTGGTAGAATTTTAGTACTATTTCAAAAAGGTGACTGTTTGACTGCATTAGCTAATTTACCTTGTCATGTGATGAGGTGTGTTGATTCAGTTTATGCTTTATGCTCTGACTGTTTGACTGCATTAGCTAATTTACCTTGTCATGTGATGAGGTGTGTTGATTCAGTTTATGCTTTATGCTCTGACTGTTTGACTGCATTAGCTAATTTACCTTGTCATGTGATGAGGTGTGTTGATTCAGTTTATGCTTTATGCTCTGACTGTTTGACTGCATTAGCTAATTTACCTTGTCATGTGATGAGGTGTGTTGATTCAGTTTATGCTTTATGCTCTGACTGTTTGACTGCATTAGCTAATTTACCTTGTCATGTGATGAGGTGTGTTGATTCAGTTTATGCTTTCATTTTAAAATCAAATCAATATAAAATTTCCTTTGCTTTTTATATTTCTTGCAATATCTCTTATAAGAGACGATTTAAGCTGTTAAGAAACCACCTCTTTAAGTCTCTTTCAAGGTTAGGGTATCAACTAACTACTATGTATTTGCTTTTGCTACAATTTTGTGATTTTGAATTCCCATTATACAATGCCAAAGGTTTTAGTAATGTGTTTGTGGATAATGTTACAAACTTTACCATTTGCATGTCTTGTAAGATGCAAATAGTCACGCATATCACTTGGTTTTATCTGGCCACTTGAGGTTACAAACCCTGGATCTGCATTCAGAAAGGTAGTATTTGGCACATTTGGAACCATTCTTTCAAGCGCAGTATTAACCTCCATGTTTTTATCTCTAAGCTTGTTTGGCTTTTCTCCTCGAGGTAAAAGACCCTGAAATTGAAAAAATATACTTGGCAAAATAATGGATGATATTTTCCAGATTTCTCTAACTCAAGCAATTATTCCAATTTGGTAGTACTAAAAATCAATCAAGTTTTTTAATGATGTTGTGGTAAACTTGATGTATCAAATACTGATTCCTTTTATATGCTGGAGAGTTGCCTGATCCCAAGAAATACTGAACCCCCTGAAGTAAGAACAAATTGTGTCAAATTTAAAAACAGAAAGGAAGGACACCTCAGATTGAGCCCTCTATCAAATCTATTAAAAGGGAAAATAATATCAAATTTGATATACTTACAAGAAAAAGAATTTTACTTTCTGGTTTTTTTTCTTGGATTGTCCAGGCAATTAACTCAAGCCCCTCAACAACCTCTTCGACTGTGCTATGGTGATTGTTTGTACCAACAAGTATGATAAAAAGCTAAAATGTTGAATTACAAAAAAATTTTGTCAAGTTTGAAGGAATAAGTAAGCAGTTACTCTTTAAACTGAAAGATAATGAAAATAGAGTTTTGTACATTCTTGCCATAATTGTTTTTATAGTAAATTTTTTAGTAAGAATTTAATAACTTTATTTTTTAGTTTTTAAATCTTCCCTAACTCCATGTTTGTTAAGCCTATAGTTTATCATTTTCTTGATAGGATAACTGTCTAGCTGTTAAGAAACTGTTTTCCAGTCTTGATGATGACTAGGTTTTTGTCAATATCTTGTTCAAGCAGTCCTTAAAACTTCTTGCTAAGCCCTTTTTTAAACACTATCTTCTTTTTTTGCAGTGATCAAAACCATATCAATGTGATATACAATTGGCCCTTGTGATAAATAAATAGATAGTATTTTTGTTATGTCTAAATACTCTTGAGGCTTGAGTTGATCCACAATTTTTATGCACTTGGTAGAAGCTCAATTTGAATGTGTGCCTCTGTAAAAAATCCAGATTACTTATGACTTTGTAGCTTAATTATTAATTACTTGTCAGTTTCATGCTTACCTGAGGATTAACACAATCAAGTTCACCATGCTCTAATCTCCAAAGTACATTTTCAACTGTATCGCCTCCAATTCCAAAGTTTAGTGCATTCATTGGTTTAAAGTATTGATCCCATGCCTATAGATTTGATAAGAGAGTGATACAGTCTCTTTGTGTTAGATATTCTTAAATAACACCTTAAATAATACAAAGGTGTTAGATATTCTTAAATAACACCTTAAAAGACCAAATATACTTGACACATTATTACATGGTTCGAAAATAATGAAAACTTGAAACCTTTGTATACTTTTAGGCACTGGAACTAGTTTTTAAATTTAAATAAGGTCAAATCATTATCTAGCTTATCGTTGATATTAATAATTATAATTATCACTAACTGGTAACATGAATGAAAAAGAATGTGTATGTGTGTACATTACCTCTTTATCCTGCATTTGAAAAACAATGGAATCTCCAAGAAATACAACTTTTGGATTAAGCATTCTCCCTTCAGATATAAACCTGTTGTGCTGGAAACAATTAATGGAAGTTAGTATTTTGTCTTGATACACGTCATCAGGTCATTCTAATTTTAATAGGCTTATGCAGTGCAGGGCAGGGCAGGAGTAAGTATGATCTAATGGAATTAAAAACAAACACTTTACCATGCTCATCCAGCGCCCATCCCCTTGAGCATCTTCCACTGCCTTTCCAACAATTGAAGAGGTCATTTTTGCTTTTAAATGTTAAATTAAATTTTTTAAATACGAAAATGGAACGAAAAAGAAATCAATACAAAAGCCTCGTTCCCACTTCTCAGAAAAAGGCTAGCAGTGTTTCCATTGACAACGTAAATTTTGCCGTTGCTGCATTCGAAAACCGTTCATGAACTAGAGAGGTCTCTGCTAGTTGTTTAGTTCACTTCAAATTACAGAAATCGCTTCTTTTTTACAGATTCATTTATCAATCGGTCGCATGATTCTATTGCAAAGGTTTTATTCAAGGTAACGCTGTGAACTAGCGATTTTAAAAGAAAATGGCAGTGCAATACGCTCCGACGAAGTTGAAAGTTCCTCCAGGTTTCCAAAATTTGCTTGAAGGATTGGCAAGAGAGGTGCTAAGAGAACAGCCTGAAAACATAATAGAATTCGCTGCAAATTATTTCAGAAGTCAAGTTGCAATTCTAGGCGGTATGTATTTTCAGAGTTGGTCTTAATATAGCGCATTTAGTTTTTGATTTTGATAATTATAGAGGTATCAGATAAAGATACTATTCCGATCATCTCATAAAAATTTTCAGCATAAACCGTTCGGCAAACTTTTTTGTTGCATTAGCTCATGCTCGATTTTCATTAATTGCTGTGTACTTGGTGCAGGTGAATTTTAGCCATTACATTAGCGCGTGTGTGTGTATGTGTGGAGGGGGGTGGGGGGTCTCCTGGGAGCGCGCACGAGATATACTTCTAACTGCATTTAAATTTTATAGCCCAACCGAGGAGGATATTATTTGATTGAAGATACAAGATATAAAGCTGTTAAGATTGACTGTGTCAACCAGAAATTTTTAGCCTGCATGTATAGATAAGTTCATCATAAGCCATACATTTTAAATAGTGGCAAGAATGAATTTAAAAAAAGGAGAAATACCCAAGAATCCCAAGGTTTGGCCCTCTATGTAGCGTGCACTACTTTACAGTTTCTTTAGATATTCGTTTTGTTAAATATGTATGTTGTGTGTGGTACTTCATCCAGAATAACGATAATACATTTAGCAAATAAATTTAGCACAAGAATGAAAATATAATAGTTTGATTGTTCCAGTGCAAAAGTATACATTCTGATCCATACATAATATTTTCATGCATAAAGCTTTATTAAAAATTCTTATGCTTCTTGGTCTATAAAGTGAAATTCTGTGCTAAAGCTCTACACAAGACTTATATTTCTCATAAACTAAGAGGATGTACATTGCATGCATGTTTATAAAATATTGTTTTAAGCATACAACTTCACATACTTTTAGGTTACCTTCTTTTCCATATAATGATATCATTAGAAAGAATTCTATCAGGAAATTTCCCATGTTACGTACCACCACTGGCAATGTATTTTGATAAAATACATAAAATGAGAACATTTAGATCCTTTTATCAAAACCTCCCTGTTTACAGAATCAGATCCAGACTGCAGCAACCTATGAAAAAGCATAAGTCAGATTTTTAAAACAACAATATGAATTTTTTCAATCAATAGTATCTTTAGCAAATTTTTTAGCAACGTGCCTCCTAGGTCTGCCCCTGTTGATACAAACAACATGCAGAAGACAGGACATTATTTTGCTGACTTTCTCTAGGCCTCTGTACATTATAGGCAAGTTCAGTTCAGTTCAGTTTTATTTTAAATTCCACTGGATACATACACTTATTGCAAATTAGAAATAATCCAAGCTTAAAAGTATAAACAATGTTAGAGGAAGTTAACTAATATAAAAACATAACAGAGTAGCAGAGTATAGAGGAGAAACAGTCTAGTATTATTTGAAGGAGGAAACTTTCTCAGTAGTTTATTATCTAATCGAGGAGAAAGCACCCTCTAGTAAATTAGATGCGTTCTGTTTAGTTTGCAAGTGGTGATTCTAGGTATTTATCTGGTCCATATTTTCTAAATTCCAAAACTTGTTTGTCTCTTGAAAGCCAATCACCACTTGTTTGACTTATGCAAACATCTTGTAAGCCAATCAGAGTGTACTTCACCTCTGCAGTCTTTGGTGCGAGCATAGGTGATATTTGATTTATCAAATCAGAAGCTGAGCTTGCCTCTACAGCAGTACAACCAACCAATAGAAATAAGAGTTGACCTATGCAATTGTTTGTTGCAACCAATGAAATGGAAATTGACACTGTTTCACCCCTGCTAAGCAACTAGCTAAGTTACTCATCATTGAAGTGTCTGTTCTGTAGTCCTGTGGTATGACCACTGCATACAGAATATGGAGTGTGCTTGTTCAAATACTACCAGGGTCAGGCAGCTCAGAGGGTTTTTCTTTAAATTGTAGATAAATTTTGTCTTCTCTTTGTGAATCTTTTCCTTAGAATTCCTTTTTGGAACCCCTAATTAATATCAACTTAAAAATCTAGTAGAGCTACACCTTGAATTGAAGTCTGTGTTCTTCTGAAAGAGGGGACAGACAAATAAGATTTAATCTAAAGCACACATTTCATAGAAGCTTGAAAAGACATTGCCCCCTTAAAAGATAAAATTTAAAAACCCTGGAATTGACAAAGTCAGACAAAAAACTTTGCCAAAATCAACAAAGAATAAGGTATCTTATGTTATATTTTTTATATTGTATTATCTTCTAACCCATATTGCTTATAACCCAGGGAGATTCAATGGGGGGCACCAGGGGCAAATGCATCTGTTACTTTTAGGAAAATGCCCCTTTTCCTAGAGTTTTTCTTTTCAGACTTTCAGAAAAGTTGCTTTTTTCAGTGGCATAGTGCCCTTTCTTACAGGTCCCTTCCAGCTATGGAAATGGTTCTGGCAAGATTTATTTTTACCAATTTAGTGCCTAAAAATTTTTTGAAGTATTGAAACTCTGGTAATCACAATGATAATGGCAATTCAGTTCCACTTTGTATGTAAAATTTCACAACAATTTTCACTCTATATGAATTTTAGCAGCCTTTTGACAGAAAGTTACAATTAATTACCTCAAGTGCTAGGGCCATTCCCTTGAGCGCTGGGGCAAGAAAAGAAAAGACTGTATTTTTGATTTAATACGTAGAAGTCTTTTGTTTTTTATTGTATGGAATAAGTACTCTAAATCTGGATTTGCAATATTCTTTGGTCTCTAGGGATTAGTAAAAGTCATTTTGTTATGCAAAAGATTAACTAATAATCTTGCCACAATCAGATTAATTTATTTTCTGTGGGATTTTCAGCATATAGTTTGTTGTGCTTGATATCATGACTACATAATTGCTTTGTAAATTAAAGAAATTTGCACCTGAACAACTGCTACACTGCAAAATTATTGAAATGGGAGGACTGTTATCAAATCAAGCATTGGCTGAACCAATTGAGAAAAGTGGTAAACCATGTCTGCTAAAATTTTGCAATTGTAAACAGATTCAAGCCAATTTAATTTTATTTAAAGTTTGGCGATACTAGATTATCTTGCTATTAGGTATTCTGATTCTTGAACTTTATAGAGATTTTTCATCTTGCCTACCAAACTAATACTTTTAAGACCAATTCGTTGACTTAAAGAATTTCTCTTAAATTTCAACACTTGCTAATTATAATTGGTAATAGCAATGCTAATTGGGTTTAGCTCTCTTCGAAGTTGCCCATTCGTTTGACTGCATGAATGAAATCATCGTTTTACAGCTTAGATGCTGTCTTTAATGTTAAATGTTATTCATACCTTTTTGTTAGATTTTGTATCGCTGTTTCCACCGCATTTATCCAGGCGTTGTTAAGACTAAACACGCAAATTGAAATTTTCGTCATGTAAAACACCTGAGCTGCACTGGAACGTCCCAAATGCCTTACCGCAGTTCAAGAGATTTCAAATAACGCAGTTTTCATATCCATTATTGATGTTGAGGTTATTTTCTATGCATTTTGAGCATAATTCATGTTTAACAGAAACTGGAAGAGACGATGCGAAGAAAGGAGCTGACATGGAAACGCTTGCACAAGGAGAGGAAGTTGATATTGATTTGGATGACCCTTCGACAGCGGATGCAGCACTAAAGATTCAAGCTGTTTTTAGAGGGCATAAATCAAGGCAAGTGGAAAAGCAAAAGCAAAAAGAGGACGAGGCAGCGGTGAAAATACAAGCGGGATTCAGGGGGCACCAGGTGAGGAAAAGCATGAAGGATCTCCAATCTGGTGAGGAAGGAGAAGAGAAGCAGGCTACGGTCGAAGATTCAAAGGAATTTGTAGAGAAAGTTACTGAAAACGAAACAGCTGAAGAAACGAAGGATTTTGAGGATCCTAAGTACGGGGAGGCAGCCACTAAAATACAGGCAGGCTTCAGGGGCTTTAAAACAAGAGAGGAACTGAAAGGAAGATTGTCCAAAGACAAATTGGCAGAAGAGCCTGCGGAGCAAGTTGATGGAGAGGAAAGTGGAGCAGCGAAAGAGGAGGAGGCTGCAGCTGTTAAGATTCAAGCAAGTTTTAGAGGACATAAAGCAAGGAAGGAAGTTGAAACGATGAAGGCAACGCAAAGCGATGAAAGTGTAGCAAAAGAAGCCGATAGTTTGCAAGGTAACTTAGAAAGTTGCATAGTCAATGTTTCACTTTTGAAGGTTTTTCTCATTTTACTATCTGCAGAGATTAAGGCTTATTACAGAATTAGCTGTTTTTTAAACACAATGGAATATGGGTATTGATTTGCAATTAGATGATCTTGATTCCAAGATAGATGAGCCTGATCCTTGATCTTCTGTAGCATATTGCTAATGATTTATGATTCGATGATCTTGGTATTGAAGTAGATGAGTCCAATCCTTAATCTTCTGTAGCATATTGCTAATGATTTATGATTCGATGATCTTGGTATTGAAGTAGATGAGTCCAATCCTTAATCTTCTGTAGCATATTGCTAATGATTTATGATTCGATGATCTTGGTATTGAAGTAGATGAGTCCAATCCTTAATCTTCTGTAGCATATTGCTAATGATTAATGATTCGATAATCTTGATACCAAGGAAGATAAGCCTGATCATTGATCTTCTGTAGCATATTGCTAATGATTTATGATTCGATAATCTTGATACCAAGGAAGATAAGCCTGATCCATCATCTTTTGTACGTACCCTATTGCTAATGATTTATGATTCGATGATCTTGATACCAAGGAAGATAAGCCTGATCCATCATCTTTTGTACGTACCCTATTGCTAATGATTTATGATTCGATGATCTCGGTATTGAAGTAGATGAGTCCAATCCTTAATCTTCTGTAGCATATTGCTAATGATTAATGATTCGATAATCTTGATACCAAGGAAGATAAGCCTGATCATTGATCTTCTGTAGCATATTGCTAATGATTTATGATTCGATAATCTTGATACCAAGGAAGATAAGCCTGATCCATCATCTTTTGTACGTACCCTATTGCTAATGATTTATGATTCGATGATCTTGATACCAAGGAAGATAAGCCTGATCCATCATCTTTTGTACGTACCCTATTGCTAATGATTTATGATTCGATAATCTCGGTATTGAAGTAGGTGAGTCCAATCCTTAATCTACTGTAGCATATTGCTAATGATTTATGATTCGATAATCTTGATACCAAGGAAGATAAGCCTGATCCATCATCTTTTGTACGTACCCTATTGCTAATGATTTATGATTCGATAATCTCGGTATTGAAGTAGGTGAGTCCAATCCTTAATCTTCTGTAGCATATTGCTAATGATTTATGATTCGATATTCTTGATACCAATTAAGATAAACCTGATCCTTGAAGTAGATGAGTCCGATCCTTAATCTTCTGTAGCATATTGATAATAATCTATGATTCAATGATCTTGATATCAATGTAGATGAGCCTGATCCTTGATATTCTGTTGTAAATTGCCATTGATTTATGATTAGATGATGATCTTGATGTAAATGCAAGCGAAGAGGCAGCGACCAAGATACAGGCTGGCTATCGGGGATTCGTAGCAAGGAAACAAGTTGAGGCCTTGAAAGCATCAAAGACCTCTGAAGATCATATACAAGACGATGGTACCATGCATTTTATATCATAATACTCATGTACATCTTGAAGAACAGGGATTCAGATGGAGAATGGCTATTGTTATTTTCCCATTGCAATGTTTTTTGGTTTAATGAAAATGTTTCTAGGGTATCGGCCATGCTTTATTGTTGCTTTAGGTCAGAAAACCAGCTGTCTCTCTTTTTCAAAATTGCTAATCAAGCTCCAACAGCACTTTGCTAAATGTTCCTGAAATTTGGCTCATTGCTAGCAGATGTTTTTTCTGCTTCTATTTTGATAGACAATTTTTAACAGAACTGTTGCAATTTTCAGCGCGAGTACTTTGTCTTTACAGATTTAATACCGTTTTGCATCAAGTTCAGATTAAGATTTATGCTTTATAACATAGCTATCACACTTTAATCTTACAATATGTTTTTCATTTATTTGAATTGCACAACATCCAAAGCTACAGAAAAAGAAATCGCCATGTAATCAATATTTTTAATTGTCATTTAGTGGACATGGAAGCCAAGAAAAGCGAGGAAGCGGCGGTGAAGATCCAAGCAGGCTATCGTGGGTATGTCGCAAGGAAAGAAGTTGAGGCAATGAAAGATCCCAAAACCCAAGAAGACTCCGAAGATATTGAAAGTATGTGAACCATATTTAGTTGCTAATGAGTTCAGTAGATTCTTTATTTACTTTTTTTCTTCATGTTTTAAGTCTTGTACGATACAATTTTTATTGATAACTTAGAGAAGTGCTCATTTAACAGCATATAATAATTTATAGGATCAACTTTTGAAGCAATGCTTTTCTATTGTCGTGAATTCAACTATAATTCTTAAGCAACTACAAAGATACTTAACTCATAAAAGTGCTTTAATCGTTAAATGAGCGGAGATTGAGTAAACGATAGAAGATGAGCCTCTAAGTAGCTTTAATAAAATGCTAGTTATGTCTTTTCAAGCGTTTAATAACCCTACTCATCCACTTTGTCAGCAACGTGGGAGAATGCACGATATAACTTTGATCCGTGTAATAAAGTGTGAAGGCTAATATCGTCCAGTTCAACTAGAAAGATTCTGTGTTCAGTTTTCCTAACTAATTTGAATTTAGCTGAGTAGTTCCAGTTCTACCCTGGATGCCAGGGTCTCCATTATTTAGTCTCAGAAATATAGTTCGAAACTGGTCACAGAAATATTGTTTTGAGTGAGTTTGCCACCGCAGGGGTCCTACAATACATTATCCCCGGATTCATGAGCCTCTGCTACCCAGGGTATCTTATTCCGAGTACTGTTTTATGGTAGAATTTGATAACAAGTTGAAAACCTGTCACGTGATAGTATTACGCAAAACTCTTCAGCTTTATCGAAAAAAAATTTTTTCGAGAGATAAAGACCTTTCCTAAAAGTTTTTGGACACTAGAATGAATTAATGAAACCCGTTTTTCATCTTTGAGATGTTATATCGATCATGAAAATTTCACGTGTTGAATAACATTCGCTTAAGTCTTGTAGGATAAACATCGTAAGGTTTTGGAAATCTGATAGGCTTCCGTTTGGTGATTGAAATTAAAAGAGGGTACTATCCCTTTTTTTGGAAATTGATAATTTTCTGGACAGGTGTGATGTCATGCTTAAATACTAGTGGGGTCCATGCTTCTTTCTCAATGCCAAAATAACTTTCTATTTTTTTGCGATGTATTCAGTGATAAACCCCAGTTCTTTTCATTGCACAACACCCCCTAATGATGGGGTCAATACCACACTGTGTTGGAAGCAATATGGTTTTGTTGGTCCCAGCATTGATATTTTCCAATCCCGGCTTAAATACCAATACAACGTTCCTTTATCTGTATGTAGATGATATGGAAGTCAAAAGGAGTGAAGATGCAGCAGTAAAGATTCAAGCAGGATTCCGTGGATTCGTTGCAAGAAAAGAAGTCGAGGCGATCAAGGCCTCGAAAAGTCAAGAAGCGTCTGCTGAAAAGACAGGTCAATTCATGCTATTATAACTGCATTCTAAACTCTGGGCATTATAACTTTTGTACTTGGAAGTTTCAAACAATGATTGTCTTTAGACAGTGCAAGTCTTTAAATAGTTTCAAACAGCCCCAATAGCTGAATCGTCGAAGCTTAATCGACGAAGTAAAAGCCTGCGAAAACCGTTATTTTGTGCTTAAATCGTAGTACAATTGGACTTTTCTTATTCACGATTTCGCATTTTACTCACCTGTTCATGTTTTTGACAAGACACGACCTTTGATTATGACCAACAATTCACAATATCAGCTGATCCTTTATCTAAGACTGATTTATATAAGGGTTAGAACTTTGAGAGTTAAGGGTTATATAAGGGTTAGAAGATTTATATAAGCGTTTATTTATGCTTCACGATAAAAAGATGAAAATGTGTGATTCTGCCATATTGCGGCATTTACTAGGGAGCCAGAGTTGTGCCAAAAACTATAATGGTGACTTGTGTCAGATTTTTGACAGAGCGAGCTCGGCCATATTTCTAATTTTCCAGCAGTTTAGAATGGGCTGAATTAAACCGACCAGTTTTGTGGATGAAATTTAGGGTCAATTCAAGAATATTTTTATTTATCTCGTCAGGAAGGTCTTTATCACAGTAGAAGTTATCACAGTATACAGTAGAAGTTATATTGTAATATTATTTCAAAGGTTAACATTTTAGAATTTTAGAATTTAGGAAATACGATTATATTTGCTTATTTTTTCTCCAAATTGTGGCTTTTGTTGCAGATGATGAACCTACCAAAGATGACTCAGAAGCGACAGGTGAAAAGATAGAGGAAAATGACGATGTTGATCAAGAAAAGGCTGCAGTTAAAATTCAGGCCTCTTACCGAGGTTACAAAACAAGAGCGAGTCTAAAATCAGACTCACTTCCAAAACTCTCTGAAAAAGACGAGTCTGTTACCAAGGATACAAATGACAATATTCAAGAAGAAGATGGTGAAGCTGAAGCATAGGACATTGTAGCATGTTAATGTACATATCTCCTGTAAAGAACCATATGATATGTTGTCATTGCTGTCTGAAGTGAATTTAGGTCCAACAGCATACTTGGGGTCAACATTAAGTACTAATAAGCAGTAGCATTTTATTTTTACCTAATGCAACACGGTAAGGCTGCGAATCTTTTAGGATGCTCCCAGTTAAAGAATGAAAGCAAAATTTTTTCTTTTCTAATGGAGCCGTTTCCCTGTGGAATTTAGATTGCTGCCTGCTCTAAGAGGGAGATGTTAGATTCAATCTTGCAGCTATGGCAAGACGTGTTTTCTTATAATGAAGTAAGTCTGCAATATAAATTGAAAGCTCCCATTGGTAAATATGTTTAAAGTTAGTCAAAACAAGGATGGTCTGTTACTTAATGAACTGTTATTACTGTATTTGAGATAAATTACATGACTTGATAAGGAAAATGTTTTCTTGTTTTGGAGAGTTTGTATTAAGTGTGTATACTTCGCAACCTCGCTTTGGCTTTTAAAATATCTAGTCTCCTCAATTACAAAACGATTAGTACGTGTTTTTTGCTTGAAACATGAATTAATTTGATGTTATAATTATTTTTAAAGTTGTAAATTCATTGTTAA